ATAAGCTAGCTTTTCTCATATATTTCCTGAAACAAACTAAATATTTCCTGTATTTTGTCGAGCACTAGAAATACTTACAGTCATTCCCTGCAAGGAAATACGTTCACTATTCTAGAAATCAAGTAAAATAACATCAACGTAAACAGGTCATTTTATCAAATAAATAATTTCTAAAAAAGTGTTAAAAGTTTTTTTGAAATAGATGAAAAATTTGTTGAAACACTCTAAATACCTCCCATCCCCCGTATTTTTCTACAATTGACTTTGATATTTTGGATCCAATTTTGAACATTTTCTTTAGATTTTTAGCCCCACAACATGAACGAACTCATGTGACATAAAAAAAGAGATTTTGAATTTTTTATCTGGTAAACAATATCATGCGGTGGTTTACAACTTTATATAGTTTATCTTTTTTTATGGAGTATGAAACAATTTTTTTCTGTTATTTTAATAATGGTCGGTTAGCAAAATATTTTTATCAATGGTGGTTTTATTTCGTCTTATCAATCAATACATCTAAAAATGAAATTAAAATTATCCATTTGAATTAAAAATTACATATTGGATCGGTATACAATTAATCATAAAAGAGTAAATCATGAATAAAAAGTGTTTGATCTAAAACCACTTCTGGTTTGTCAGTTGTTGTTTTTGCGTGAAAGTTTGTTTTCTAGAAATAAATGTAGTGTGAGATCCATTATTATAATATACAGGGTGTCCCACGAAACATGACAGTTGGTATAAATAGTTTAGAATGTCTTCTTCCATACTTTGATAAGTTTTTTAATACGAAAGACAATAATAAAAATGTTATTTAGGAGTCATATTATAGTAACATTAATTTCAAAGTAAAATATACTAGAGCAAAAGATTTTTTAACGAAATAAACTGCAAACAGCCTTTAATATCTAATACAGTGTATGGAAGACGACATTCAAAACTATTTATCAACTGTCATGTTTCGTGGGACACCCTGTATATACGAGTACGAATATATATATATATATATATATATATATATATATATATATATATATTCGTATGATCAACGAGCCAAGCAAACATCCGTTACCGGAGAAACTTTACCTTTCATAAACCAGTATAAAGGGATACTAGGATACTGTGATACTACGGTGGTAGGCGATTATATCAATATAATAAAGACGACTTTCAATTTCAATTTTGATTTATATCCAGGTTTAAACAGCATGAATAAACAAAACATGGATACAAAAAGAAGCTGTAAATAAAAAAATCTTCTCTATAATTATTTGTAATTCGAGCTTTTTAACAATTAAAACTTAAATAAAAAAGTCGTCTTCGATATTTTTACATTATCGTCTACCACCGTATACTAGGATACTAGGATACTATGATACTATGATATATACTAGAATACTAGGATACTAGGATACTATGATACTATGATATATACTAGAATACTAGGATACTAGGATACTATGATACTAATGATGTATACTAGAACACTATAAGGATACTAAGATACTTGTGCGAGAAGATATATGCAAAAAACGAACCAACATTTATTTTTCATTTTATTTTCTCTTAGGATAAAAATTTGCAAAGTTTAGTAAAAGCAAACTTTTATAAATCACTAGATACTATGAGATACTAGAATACTAGAATATTAGGATACTGGGTGATAGGATACTATAGGATCTTAGGATTGTGGAATCACTCTTTGCTAAATTTTACTATATCTTTGGTCAGTGTACTGCAGATTACTACAGAACGTACCTAAAGCTTAGCTGAAGGTGGGATACTAGGGTATACTAGCATACTAGGATACTTGGGTACCAGGATACTAAGATACTAGGATACTTGGGTACCAGGATACTAAGATACTAGGATTTGAAATGAAAAAAATGAAACTCTAAAGTCAACTGCCTGACTGACTAGATACGGCCTAAAAAAGTCTTTTTGATGTGATTTTCAAGGATTCCACTTCAAAAACCCCTTTTATAGGCAGTGCTTAAACAGTCGTACAGTTTACTTATAGCTTTGAATTTTGACTAAAACATGTATTTAGACTGTTAAGGACAACTCACAATATTCGGCGACCCTGCCATTAACCCTATTAACCCTGCCATTAACCCTATTAACCCTGCCATTAACAGTTTAAAAAAATATCGCAAAAAACCAGAATCATCTTAATCAAGTCTTGAAACTAAAGATACATTTGGTTTTTAGACCAGAAAATGCATTTCTACAATATATTTTACAAATCTTAAACTAGTTTTTTTTAGTATTTTATATAGTTAGATATTATTGTTCATTTAAAATGGTGTGTTGATGACATTTCAATGATATGAAATTAACCAATGAAATAGATTGTAACACTTCACAAATTCAAGGTAAAAAAGTTAGTTTTTCAGACAGAAAAATCAAAATTTTTCTAAGCAACCCACCGCCTTGTTCACTTCGTTTCACTCGGTGCAAACTACAAACACCCAGTTACGGGCCTGTTACCAGCTAGAACTTTTACTACTTTTGATTAAATCCGACCGCGGGAAGGTGATACTTTTGATAAAAACAATTTATTTTAAGATAAAGAATGATATGAATGTTTAAAATTCGAATAGTGTTCATAAAATGTAAATTTCAACCATTAGCAAGCTGTTATCTAGAGCAGACTGAATAAATTCAACTGTTAACAGGAAATATTCTGATTGAAAATTCTATTTCAACCAATATGATTAGAAAGAACAAAGGGGGCGTAAGGTTATTTTATATTTTACCGATTTAGAACAGTCTATTAAATTACTAACTTGGAAACCCAGTTTTCGTCAACCCACTAAGCTTAGAATTTTTTCACAAAGCTCAGAACATTTCCTTGGTTCTAGCGAGTTAACCAATCAAAATTTGAGGCAAGTCGATTAAGAGGTTAATGAGTTGTTATCGGACATTGTAGCAAACAGACAGACAAGCAGTGATTACTACTTTATAAGTATGAATATACCATAGCATAAACCACCTGCGTCTATGAGTTTTTTTGAACTCCTTCCTTGATTACATCTAAAACGTTTCTTTTTTCCTTCTTCTCCTTCTCCTCCTTATCCTCTTTCTTCTCCTCTTTCTCCTCACTCACTTCATTCTCCTTCATCCTCATCCTCTTCCTTGTCCTCCTTCTCCTCACTCTCTTCCTTCACCTCCATCTCCCCCTTTTTATTTCTAGTTCTTTTCATCCTTGTTCTCAACCTTCTGCTTCTTTTCCATCTATCCCCACTCTTCCTTGTGTCCCCCCTTCACCTCCTTAACCATAATGAATAAGGGATATGATATCAAGATCCTCTCTGAACTCCTTAAACCCTATCTTGCTGAAACCTAATGGCTCCCTCTGCACATATTGAGCTCTAATGGTAGAATTACTGTATAATCTCCTCTACATAAAAACCACATATTTTCTTGTTAAAAAGAAGCTTAGAATTGCATTTAATTTGCAAACGCATCGATCCTGAATCTAACAGCTTCGCTGAGTAGAAATTACCAAGTTTTAAAATATATGATAATATAGATTGCATACTGTTCACAGATATAAATGTACAATGTACACATTCAATTAACATGTACATTGCATACTGTTCACAGATATAAATGTACAACGTACATATTCAAATTAACTTTTGTAAAAGTTTAATTTTGTGTAAGAAATAATGATCTAAAGAATGTTAAACAAACAAATCTTTGCGACCTAATTACGAAACTCAAACTTTTATCATTTTTTATATTATTTATTGGGTTGCAAAGATATAGGGATTAGAAAATCAGACTTTGTGGCTTTCTTCGAAAATTCGCTTGACCGTTCAAATGTTTTTTAGAAGATTTGGTTATTATAATCTTTAAATTTTATATTTCTATTAAAATAAGAATTTTTCTGTAAATTAAGCAAAAAATCAACGTATGATAAAATTATGATAAATGCTAGATTTTATCATGTAAATAATTTTTCAATACAGGCAAGATCAGAAACAAAATACAATACAAATGCGAACAGAGAATTTTTTGATTTGAATGGAAGTAAGAGGAAACCGAATTCAAATCTAAGATATTTTTTAAAAACCCTAATTGTATAAAACTTATATTTCAGCTTTAAATTATATGAATTACGTAATTTTATGAAAAGTTTGTTTTTTCAAGTTAAAAAGCTTTTTTTTATTCCATCTCCTTCTTTTTTTGATCTATGGATGGTCGGACTTATAAAAAGACAGAAAAATTTAATATATTTTGTGTAATATTGAATCCAAATATTGGATCTTCACAATCTGTTCAGTTTGTCTTATATTTGCATGCATATATATATAAACTAGCTTGAAAACCCAGTTTTGCCGGGAAACTAAGTTTTCCCTGTAAAAGTCAACATACTCTATTAAATTAGAACTTTTAAACCAAGCTCATAACATAACCGTGGTTCTACCGAGTTTCCTAATCAAATTTGAGGCAAATCTGTTGAATAGTTCATGAGTTATGGCAATGTAAAATTTGTACACACTCAGTACAGCTGTATTCTGACCTCATAAGTGTCAATTCAGTTTTTGTTTTATTAGTAATAGTGATAATTTGGAAATAAAGTGCTTATCTTACGGTAAAATAAGTGCAATTTTATGCGCTCTATATTTTCTTCTCTTACACTTTTTTATTTAATATTGGAAACAAGTCAACTAATATGAGAAAATTTCGTTTTATTTGACACTTGTGACGTAGTGTATAATTGGTCTATTTCTCTGTTGCCACCTATTGTACTTGATAATCTATTTGTATTATACGTTTATTATTATTATATTATTCATAGAAATATAAAAAGATCAAATAATGAGAAAATTTATTAATGTTTGTAAATAGATTACAAGCATATCTATTTACATCTATATATACGAATTGACTAAATTTGGTGAGGTTTGACTAGAATAACTCAAGTTATGTTAATTAAATAACATATGCACAATTTAAACTGCAACTAGATTTAACTTTCGGATAAATACATAAATATATCTATTATAAAAACTTCAGACATCTATATCTATACAAAATTTTAAATTTTAAAATCAACAGAAATATTTTTAATCACATTTGCTTAAAAAAGATAAAACGTAAATACAATAAGGATTCAGTTCTGGAGAATTCCGGATTCTGATTCAGATCATTCGATATATTGGATTCAATCAGTGAGTTTATAGGATTTAGTAGATTCATTAGGATGAGTTCAGGAGATTAGGGATTTGAAGAATAAATGATTCAGTTGGCGGGTTGAGTGGATTCACGAGAAGGTATGCTGCTGGATTCAGTTGGCGGGTTGAGTGGATTCAGGAGAAGGTATGCTGCTGGATTCAGTTGGCGGGTTGAGTGGATTCAGGAGAAGGTATGCTGCTGGATTCAGCTTGCCATATTGTGACATTCCGTAGATTTGGGTTCAAGAGATCGAATCGATTGAGTTGACTTGAGTTAGTAACTGGAGTTCAGAAGATTATCTTTATCTGAAGCCGCCTAAAAAGTAAGAATAAAAATAAAGACATCAAATCTAAAAGAAACTTAAAATCAGAGGACTGAAAAATCTTACCAGTTTCGAGAGCTGAGCCAAGCACTTTGTAACTTTGGGAATATTCCTGAGTTCAATTAAATCTTCAGGTTCGAAAACTTCAACTACTCCGTATCTGCGGATCTCACGGATAACAGCTTTAACTCTATCCATGGCAGGATTCTAGAATGAAAATAATATTATTTTGAATTCAAATAATTTATAAAAAGAAAGAGAGTACAAATCTTACCATTCCCCAGTTATCATTAATCTGCTCCAGAGGAACGGAGTTAAACACGATACTTGTCATAACCTTGGCAAGGACGGATCCGTCCTGGATAAAGGTTTCATAATCCGTGTTTGGTTTCTCATGAACAACCGACATTATCCACTGTAGAACCTTATGCTCCAGATCCAGATCCCGCTAGAATAAAAATATTATTAGAATACAGTCTATGGAGTAAATCAAATCAAAAAGTTCTCACATTCGAAAAAAAGGAAAAAAGCTTTGCATACGTTATTGATTGCAAAAGATTTATTTTAGTCTAGTTTATTACAGAAGTTGTACTTTTTGATTTAATGTAATGACAATAAATGATATAATATAATTAATGATAAGGTTAAAATACCCATTGAAAAATATAGAAGATGCATATTATATAATGTTTGAACTGATGATTTGATAAATACGAATGTTTAAAAGCATCTTAAAAAAGTAAAATACAAAATGGTAAAAACAATTTATAATATGGTAAAATTTCAAATATGTCTCAAAGTTGTATAACGCTGACTGGAACTGTTCAAATTTTGCAGTTTTTAAAAATCTTCTTTGCTCAAAAATGTCACATGAATGAAATATTTTAAGTTTTTTAGTTCTTATTTCAGTATTGTCGAAAACCACATTAAGCACCAATTGGCTTGTTTTTACTTTATCCTATGAGTACCGAGTTCAATATATCAAAGAAAATATTTATAGTGTATACTTTATACTTTATTCTAGACATTAATAAATAAATATAATAAATCTGGATTTCTAATTTTTCTTTCCTTGCAATAAACCCTAATAATAAAAAAGTCAAGCGAAACCTGCATAAACATTAAAAACCCAAACCTAAACCTGCTGTGGGTTATAAAGCTAAATCTGGACCTGCTGTGGATTATAAACCTAAACCTGGTTCTGCTGTGGATTATAAATCTAAACCTGAACCTGATGTAGGTTATAAACCTAAAACCTGCTGTGGATTATAAACCTAAACCTTTACCTGCTGTAGATTATAAACCTAAAACCTGCTGTGGATTATGAACTTAAACCTGAATCTGCTGAGGATTATAAACCTAAACCTGGCCCTGCAGTAGATCATGATGTGAGTATATTCATCGTATGATCTTCTGAAAGACCAGGCTGAGATTTGATTGCTTTTAATTGTTGTCGAGGATAGAAGTTCTCCTGTGATGTAGACAGGTGGATACATTCCTCCAGGTTTAAATCTACTCCGGGTCTAGTCTTCCCCTTGTATATAAACATAAATACACAGGGATTCTAGATATCTTGAGTAGAGTAGAGTAGAGTAGAGAGTATTTATAGATCTAGTTGATGATGGAAACGCAACCGGGGCTAATCGGTGCATTTACCCTTTAGTACGAGATAAAGGCTCCGATTTATCCCGATTGAGTTCACGAGTTTTCTCCTAGCAGTATTCTCAGATACGTTATCATCAGGTTCAAAATCTTTGAAAAAAATACTCACTTGGGTTTTTTGGACTCTGTTCTTGGCCACAGGTAGAGGAGGTAAATTGGTCTTATTCACGTGAGGAAATCCACCAGTGGAGAAACTTGGAACCTCGTAGGTTGGAGAAACTGGAGGAGGGAGAATTTCTTCTTTTTTAAAGGGTTTACTTTCTCTAATTAAAGGTTTCTTTTCCTCTCTCGGAGTAACATCTTTCTCCTTGTGTGGAACCCATGTTCTCCTGAGCCTGCTTGGATCAGGACGGTCTGGAGAAGTTCTTGTGTTTGATTCTCCTCCGATGCTTAATTTTCTTGGTTCTGAATTCACATCAGTTTTGGTTTCAGTTGTTGTTGATGTTCTCCGAACCGGTCTCCGGACTAGAGGAACAAGTGTATCAGGCATGTTTAGACCTGGAACCTGAGGATTGAACTGATGATGAGGAGAGGGTGCAGATTATTTAAAGATGTTCTGTGAGGAAGGGGGAGGGTGGATAGGGAATATATCCGCTATTTTTACCTTTCCCTCACCTATGCGGGCCCCGAAACAAATATTTGTTTCCGGAAAATTATTTGATTTTATATTTATACCAACATTAACAACTTCACCTTCACACCTTAACCTGCTAAATCTCTTGACGTGGTTTAATAGAATTTATTTAGTTTTTTATAATTTTACAAAACAGTATTTTGGGGCCCTTCATGTTTGCATATGGAGGAATGAACCCGAGTTAAGAGTTCTATTTCTGTTAGAGCAAAGGTAAGGGGACGGTGAGGATGAGGGGATGAGAAAGGTAAATAGACAAATAGATAAATAGATAAATAGATAAATAGATAAATAGATAAATAGATAAATAGATAAATAGATAAATAGATAAATAGATAAATAGATAAAATAGATAAACAGATAAATAAATAAACAGATAACTGATAAATAGATATACAGATAAATAGATAAACAGATAAATAGATGAACAGATGAACAGATAAACAGATAAACAGATAAACAGATAAATAAATAGATAGTCAAATATATAAAAAAGATAAATAGATAAAGAGATAAATAGATTAATAGATAAACAGATATAAACAGATAAACAGATAAATTGATAAATAGATAAATAGATAAATAGATAAAGAGATAAATAGATAAATAGATAGACAGATAAACAGATAAACAGATAAACAGATAAACAGATAAATTGATAAATATATAAATAGATAAATAGATAAATAGATAAGTAGATAAATAGATAAATAGATAAATAGATAAATAGATGAATAGATGAATAGATGAATAGATGAATAGATGAATAGGTGAAAGGATGAATAGATGAATAGATGAATAGATTAATAGATAATTAGATTAATAGTTGAATGGATAAATAGATGAATAGATGAATAGGTGAATAGATGAATAGATAAAAGTATGAATAGATGAATAGATGAATAGATGAATAGAAGAATAGATAAATAGATAAATAGATGAATAAATGAATGGTTAATTTAAAGACAGATCATAAAATTTGAAGAAAAAAAACACTAAACATTTTACCCATAATGAATTTTATGAATTTTTATTCTTAATGAAGCTTTAGATTAGAGTACATTTTACTGTTCATACATCCACATTTCAGGGGGTTTTGAAACTATATCTTATTCCATGATTCAATATCCTATCCATGGTAATGGAAGCAAACTTAAAAATATGATACTTCTTTGAAAAGAACTGAACACCTGCCTCAAACTCTAATTTCCCAAACCCTTCATCTTTACAATCTAGAATGATACAAATGATATATATGGCTCTTTGATTTAGCAGAATTCATAGCATTCATTACAGTATATTGTTTAGTAGCTTTATTTATCCTTTATTTTAGAAGTGTCACCGTCAAAGAGAATAGAATATATTTTAGAGTGGAATTTAGTCAATCCCTCGGTATGAATTTTGTCAGTCCCTTTCAGCCTGAAAGGGAGGTTAAAGTGTACAAATCATGTAAATGTTCACAAATTATATGCAGTAGAGTACATTAATACAGTATGTTCCCTAGACTATCCATTTCAATTTCGAATTTTTTAAAGCTGTTAAATAAACTTTATAAAATGAATTAATTGAATAAAAAACATCATTTGATTTATAGTTATAACGGAAAATCATCGTTTGTAAAGTGAAAGGCATAGAGTCTATGTGAAATGATCATTGGTCAATTATGAAACCAGCCTATTTCATAATTTGGTTTTTTTTTAATATTAATTTTAGATTTTCTATAAAATGATGTTCCAGGGCCCAAAAGGTTATATAGCGCAAATTTGTGAAGTACACCTGCAGTATGGAAACAGTACAACAAAATGGCCGTTTTACACTTTTTTCTATTAAATTCCACTCTAATATATATTCTATTCTCTTTAGTCACCGTATAAACACAATGATTGTATAAACAGTATGAACGAATAAATATACTTGTATTCTCTAACCTTGTATTAAACCTTAAACTTTATTCTATTATTGGAGCAAAGGAACAAAAGCGCATTGTAATATTGTAATACGTAAATCTGAAATCGATAATATCAATATAAACTATAAATTAAACTGAAAAGCTATTAAGGGATTCATAATTATTCTTTGTATAGTGGATGTTTATTATTCCCAAGATATCATCAAGAGCTTTAGTTATTTTGCTACAAAATAAAAATCGTTGATAAAGTGTAAATTCACCTAAATATAATTTAATTTTTTATTTTAAATATAATCTAATTTTTTTATTCAAAACTATCGTAAAATAAATGAATCAAGGAATTGAGTTTTTGTCACAAACTCTGATTTTCTTATCCCTATATCTTTGCATTTGAATGTTGTTGACTTTAAATATTTCAAACTGTGAATTATTTTAAAGATCAAATAATGATAGTTTGAAATATCAAAGGTTTAAACCATCAGGTTGAAAAGATATAGCTATTGTAAAATCATAATTTGTGGCAAAAACTCAGTTCCTTTAACAAAGAAAATACTAAAATAAATCTGTGAGAACTCTTTCAAAGAGTTTACCCGCTAAACCTGTAAAACCTCAAACTTCTGAACTTTTAAATCTCAAACTTTTTAAACCAATCCAATCGAAATTCGATAATAAAGTAAAATCGACGCGAAATCACAGATAAATTCTTTAAAACGGAGCTTTCATAAAAATAATTTACAACTATTCTTTTTTTTGGCATGCATTGACATTTTGCATATCTAATGGAGTTGAGTCATTGCCACAAACTCAAATTTTCTAATCATTATATCTTTGCAACGTGATGACTGGAAACCTTTGATATTTCAAGCTCAAAGTTTCAAATATCCAAAGTCTACGACATTGAGTTTCAAAGATATTTGCAAATCAGTGTTTGCGGCAAAGACTAGCTCAATTCCTTTGGTTAAAATTATTGTGAAAATGGTATTTCTACCTTGGTAAGATGGAGATGGATAAATGGTGAAAGAAAGCAAAGAATTATTGATTGTATGAAATGGTTTTATATAAATATTACATGAACCGGGGAAGGATTTAATTTGGTTTTATATATTCAGTTAACTGTTTAAACAATAAACATTGTATAATAAAAGAAACTAGGACTTATTAAGATACTTAAATATATCGGAATCTAAAAAGTTCTTTATATTTTCGATTTAGTAATATTACCTGTAGATTCTAGACTCCCGTAAGTTAAAACAAATATTGTATTTATAATATTTATAAATATTCAATTTCAAGTGACCCTCTATGCGAAGATGGCAGTGTCAGATTCACAAGGGTACCCTTTAAACCTTAATCTATTTGGAAGATATTGTCGTTTTTCATGGTTTAAAAGTTTTTAATTTGATAATTCTTATATTTTGTTTCCTACGGAGCAAAATGCGGAAGTAATTTTTGAAGAGAAAATAAAACAGAAAATAATCAGTTTAAAATATTATAAAAATGGATATCTAATTCATACTTGATCAGACAACGCTTTTAAGAGTACCATTGATAATCGAGCATTGTCACTGTTGCATGAAGGGTCAATTGAAATTACGCTTACAGTCCCATTGATTATATGGAGTTACACTAAAAAAATGAAATCTTTAGATAATTAAAGTCGAAGAAAAAGTATATTTGAAAAGAAAAAAACACTGAAAAAAATTTATCCTAGACACCATTGTATTTGAAGTTAATTTCAGATGGCTGCCTAAATATTCTAATATCATTATTGCTTCTTAAATCAAAATCTACTCAAACGTACTGACTCAAAAAAGAATACTCCCGGATGTAAAAGTTATGGAAATTTTCGCATTTCTAAAAAAATATATGTCGACATTTTTTCTGGCAAAATTTGTCATTATTGACCGTCCAAAAACCTTCCCTGGGATCATGTGAGTTACCTAAAAAGTTTGGGCACGATCGGTTCAGCCGTTTTAACGTTCATTGGACACAAACAGACAGACAGATGCAAGTTAAAGTACTTCAGTATGTACATTGTACAATGACGCACAGTTTATCAAAGCCCAAAATTTAAAAGCGTTTCGTTGAACGAAACCTTCGAGTTTCCTTTCTGGGGGTCTTAACATTTGTGTAGATTTTGATTTAAGAGATTCGAAAAAAATGGAGAATATGAAGAAACTAAATAACAAAAATATTGATATCCACAAAACTGCCTGACACCATTCGTGAAACCCAGGTTTTAAAACTGGTTTTCAGAACTATACCCTGTCTAAAGTTTTGGGCATGCTTCAGTATGTACAGTGTACACTGTACAGTGTACAGTGTACAAGGGTACAGTGTACAGTGTATAGATGTACAAGGTTATCTGGAGAGAAAACCTAATTAAAATAAACTCTCCTACTGAGCTTTGGCTTATTAAATTTGCTTTTTCCCCATTAATATAAATAATCACTTCATCAACACAGAAATTGCATTATTTTTAGTACAAAACACACCATTTGTTGTTAAATTAAAGAGATATTTTCTGCCCTTTTTTAAAAAAGTCGGAATTGACTCTTATCAAAAAGATGTATAAACTTGTTTGCATGCATAAAGTAAACCTCGAAAATCATGAATTGTATATTTGTTGTTTGTGTTTTCAGCTGCAATTTTTCTTTCCAAAGTTATTTTTGTGCTCTTCTTCATGTTTCTTTATTCTAAATTTTTTTCTTCAGTTTTTGTAAATATTTTTTTCTTACTGTTACGTATGACTACAAAATTTCATGGCTTAGAATATACATAATGTATATATGATGTAAATATTATTATCACTAACTTTCTATCTCCCTACACCTTCTTCACTAGCAGATACTGTCTCCCCACATTCTTCAGGTTCCTGCATATTTTCCATACCTGACCCCCCCCCCTCTCCTCCACCCTCCTTCCTCTCTCTTGGGTCTATAAATTCACCCTCTAAACTTGCAACCCAGCCCCTTCCCACCCTGTTGCTTATTTCCCCACAATCCACCCA